TGTTTACCCAGTCTGTAACAAAATAACGAAGGACGTCAACATGAACTTGTGACAGAAGCATCGCTCGTTCTCCAAGTGGTGGCGACCCATGTGTTTGTTTTAACATGGCACTTGGTCTGCCTCGTCTGATACATTTCATTTTATTGTCACCCTTGTGCAAAATCAGCAACAGATAAAAATTACAAACAAAATACAAACCACCACCACCACCAACAACAACAACAAAAACAACAACAGTTCGGCTACTTTCAATTGGGACCTCAGATTGGAATGGTTTGTTTTCTTCATCTTGATCAGTCCTGCCTAAAGACGGCCGCCTGTCTTTTACGGCCACTTTTCTCCTTGACAATGGGTGGCCGTCTTACACAGGTTTGACTGTACTTGATTTCTCGAGTGGACTCCTGTAGTCACACACATCTGCTCATAGCAAACTGGGCAATATATCATTCCGGCTGCATGTATTATGAGGCAGCAGTGAAATGCTTACTGCAACCAGCTTTTTACAGTTTGCTTTGACTTAATTTGCTGTTGTAATCTCTAAACATAAAAATATAGGCCAAAGCCTCATAAAATTTGTATCTGCATGGGTGGTTCTTCTCAAAATATGACTTAAATAAGTGGTATATCAGTGTTCATAATTGTTTAGTTGTATTTCAAAATAATAACTTGGAATGTAAGTGAATGCAGTCTGTGGGCACACAGAAACAATGGACATTGTTTTTCCTAGGGGTGTTCTGAAAATGGTTGGTTGCCCATAGATGATTTGAGAGAATGAAAAATTGAAATTATATTGTTGGCAAGTTGGTCAAATGCCCTTAACTCGGGAGAAAAATTTTTCAGGAGAGAAAATAAAAGTTTCAATTCTCTTACAAATTGTATCAATGCTTTGCATCTTTTCTTAATTTCCTTTATTTTCTTTTTAACATTAAGAATTTGAATTTTGACCAAACATTTTATGAGTAAATGTAATCAATACTACAGATTAAGTCCATTACCTTGAGTGGACTTCTGAGGAGAAAGTTTGTTGAGGCTCATGATTTACAGGTTGCTTCTCTTTTCCTTTTGAATGGGTATTTAGTAGCACTCTTATATGATGTGCTCCTACTTCAGTACACTGTTATAATGGCACTGTTCCTTTCCTTGGGAAATGTGGCCTCTATAGTGTTCTGCTTTGCAGTAAACTAGAAGCCATAGACTAAACTTTCCATTTTGTTTGTAGTGGGCCTACACTCTTTAAAAAGCGCTGTTTGTTTTCAGCTTCTCGCAAAAGGAAGAAGATGTCAGTGTCAGACTCTATGATGAAGGAGCTGTCATTCCGCTGTCCTAACCTGACTGTCTTACATCTCCATGACTGCAACACGGAGAATCTATCATTCGACAGCCTGCCGTGCTCCATTACCTCTCTCAGCATCACCAGTTCCTCCTGGACGCCTCGCTGGTTCAAGGACAAGCACGACCACCTGCCCAGTATGCACACCCTCAACTTGACGTCCACCATCCGCCTGGACCGCTTTGACCTCGAAGATATCGCACTGATGTCAGGCCTCAAGAAACTTTCTCTGTGTGGCTGCTACAGAGTAAGGGGTTCAGATATTGAAGTGGTGGCCAAGAAACTTGTGAATTTAGAGTCCCTTAACCTCAGCAGCACAAATATAGATGACTTGGGGATACACCACATCACCCACAATTTGGTGAACCTCAGAGAGCTGTTCCTGGACAGCTGTGAGGTAATCTCTGATGCATCACTGGCTTCTATAGGAGTATGCCTAACTAAATTGTACATGTTAGATATTTCTCATGCTGACAAAGTCACTATGGAAGGTCTTAAAGCATTGTTTCGCCTGGACAAACTAAAGTTTGTCACTTTTGTTAGGGAAAAGAAGCTCACACAGGAAGAGCTTCAGTCCTTCAAAAAGGGTTTTTTGCAACGGATCACAGTTGTTGGATGATGATCATTGCTGATGCGATTTAGCTCTTGATGTGTGATGTTTTTAGTTTCATTAATACTTATAAAAGTTATAAATTTATCTTTGTCTTGTGATCAAGCTGTCTTTGAAAGTCTTCTGTGGTTGTACATTTGGCATCTAGATTTGTTAAAAATGTGTTTTATTTATTCTGTAAATCAGCCAGCTCACTAGGATTTCCATTGTTGAGTGAGAAATGGTCTTTGCACTTCATCAAGTTTTTTTGTATCTTGTTACATCATTTTTTGTGTACATTTACAAATTATTCTCTTTTTTTGTGATATTTTTTTTTGGCAGCTGCTACATAGAAAGTGTCTTGAATATAGGGGGGGGGGGGGTAGCTCAGTTGCTGTAGTGGGACGACCCTGTATGAATCTTGATATGGCATTCTGGGACTTTGGTTATGGACAGAAAATGCTGTCAGGTTGGCAAAGGAAGTAGGACAGCTGGATCAGATGAGTAAAAAATGTATTCTTCTATGATGAAAAGGGCAAGCAGTTATAAAGTCGGCTTTCCAGGAGATAATGTGAATAGAAGCTGTAGCATTCTGACCATAATCAGCTTGTTAGCGACTATGCTGTATTGAAGGGAACAGGTCATGCTTTTTAGACTAAGGACAGGTTACATTAGGCTAAAAGCACATACTTTATATATCTGGTCATCACTATCATCAGCTTTTTTCACCTCTTGTGGGAGCATAGACCTCCATCGAGAACTCTCCAAATACTTCTGTCCTGGGTTATATTCTACACCTCTGTCCAACTGTGTATCCCAACTCCTTTAGGTCAGAATCTTAGTCCCTCTTCTAGTATCTTTAGCCCTTCCTTCCTTTCTCTTCCCTTGTGGATTCCATCCTAAGGCTTGGTGGGTAGTATTTGTTTTCAATTTTGTCAAAGTGTGTTCAATCCACTTGTATATCCAGGTACTGGATGCTAAAGACTGGCCTGTCTGAGATATTTATTCGCAATATGGCGTCCATACCCGCAGCACAGTTACTCGAGGAACAGCAAACACTGAACAGTCCCACAGTGGCCTAATGTCCAGAACCAGTTTCTCTCAGAGATATACCCCATATAACTTGGAAGCACTGCGACTGACCACTGTATTTGTGAAGATGTATTGCATTGCCACATATGATGGAGGGAGAAGATGAGGAACATAAACTGTTTCAGGAGTTTGGTCCCTTAGAGTTGGACATTGCAATGTGTGGGAAAACCTCTTTGATAACCTTATCATGTTGAAATCGTTGGCAAGAATCAGGAACTATTTTTTTTTTTTTATTTATTTCACATTGTTCGAAATTTTTTTATGAACTGAGTAGTGTGGCGATTTTTCAATGTTTGCAGTATCACGCTATTGCTTTTGTTTGTTACTATTGTCTAATGTTGTACATTTATTTTTGATTTGGGATAAAAACTGTTTCTAAAAGTCTTGCGAGACTATAAATTAAACATATGGAGGTCTTTAAGATTAATTAATGTAATTCAAATCAACAGCATCAGAAAATGTTACAGAAGATATAAGATCTTTGCGCTTTGTGTCTTTTTCTATCTAATTTTAGAATTATAGAGGTTTTTTAATGTTTAATTCTTTTGTGATCCTCAGTGACTTCTCACTAGTGCAAAGCTTCAGAAATGAGTCTTTGACTTTTAACATTGTTTATCTCTTTTCAAACCACAATCTCTTTTCTGAACTTCTGACACCGAGTAATATATTCTGCAGGTAGCTCAAGTAACAGCAGTGATAACTTTATAGAAAGTGTCTCCAACTTTAGCATTCTTGACTTGTTAAACTCTCAACAAGTCTGAGATAAGAAAACAGTACATTCTCTGTTGTTAGGGTACTATATGAAGATTTGGATGTTGCTGGTATGTACATTTATGAATACTTTTACTATACTGTTACTTGTATCAATTTTGGCAACTGTAAATACTGTAAAGATATGTACATACATGTACTTTAAAAAATGTGTAAATAAATTAAAGTTTTGTTGTTTTTTTATGACAAAAAAAGCTTATATTTACAATACAATTTGTTTAGATTTTTACGATGCTTTAGATTAAGGTTTCCTTAAGCCTTAAGAGTGTAGAACACAGTCCATACATGTGCTGCTCAGCTTTGCAGTTCATGTGTAGGTAGGCGATCTTTCGACTGTGTATGGACAGATGTGCTTGTAGAATTGAGATATAAATGAAATTCCTCAATTTCGAAATTTTCCCTATTTACTCTTTGTAACCAATTTTGTTTTTCCATCAGATTGTACATACACATCATGACGATTATGATATATTGCCTTGTTATTGAAAATGAAGTACTGTCTAGTAAGCCCATAGCAAAATAATAATAATAATTACTTTGTTATCCACACTTTGTGTGCATATCCACACTCGTCACATGCTCTGAGTGAGCTCTACAACTGTTATAACCCCAGCAGACCCTAGAACATTCAGAAACATTCTCAGCTTCCCAAGAAGCATACAGTGCAAGCTGCGGGTTACATGCTCTAAAACAGAAACAAATTGACCAGATTTTTCTCACGTAGTGAAGCAAGCACATAGCAGTTTTCAGCTCCCAGATTTTTTCCAAAACATGTATTTTCTTTTAATTTAAAACACAACTTACATAGCAAAATTCATATACCCAGGGAAAAAAATTGCTGATTTCGCTATGGCGGCTATGTGCATGCTGGACTGCATATATTACATTTGTATTCAGACAAGATTTATTTTTGTTTTCTTGGTATATTGTTATCTGCTGTTCCTCCTGGGGTTGTTGTTTACCTGATGTTCTTCTTTCTGAAAAGTATAATCTTGAATTATGTCCAATGTAAACTGTGATGTATTAGCTCTTTTATTCTATTTTTTGTGTGTTTCATTATATTAATCATTTGAGATACCACTTTTGTATAATGTGATTCGCTGACTCAATAAAGTAAATATTTCATTAGCATATGTTCTGGGTTTAGTGCCAACTTCCTGTGTTCATTTTTAATAGGAATTATGAAAGGCTTTTTTTCCCTGTTTTTTTTTAATGCTTTGGCATGTTATTAGGTTTTATGTTATTGCTGCGCATGCGGGACTCCGAGACTTTGAAGGTGTTGATCGCTGATGATGACAGGTAGCAGATATATTTCTCAGAAATAAGATCCATTTAAACCATTAATCCTTCCCCGGGGCGATGCTACTAACTGAAGCGTCTTTAACCCTATCCGTATGCCTTGGGGTCATTTTGTATCTCCGGGGTTGTATTCGTCACATTTTAGAATACTTTTAGTGGGAAAATCTCTTTGAAACTTTCAGTATTTCTCAAAAAGTCATTTTGACAGACTGCTATGCAAAGCGTACGAATCGGATTAACGAGTAAATTTCCTCTTTGGAAAGTGATAACACAGAGTTCCCCACATCGTATGAATACGATAGTAAAACACGACGTATGGATAGGGTAAAGCCATTTCCAAAGAGGCAGGGCATTAACATCTCGAGTTCTTATGCACAGTAAAATTGTAATTGTAAATGGGCTGATTCATCATTTTCGTGCTCATAACTGTGCTTGAACTGCAACAGGGAACTGCTGCTTTTTCTTTCCTAATTTTTACTATCGTCATTTTTTCCTCTACTTCTTTTGTATGTTTGTCACACTCTTGTAACCCGCTATTTCCGGGCTGTCTTGATAGTCGAAGCAGACTTTGTGCTGTAGAAGCTAGAGAGGTGAGCAGAGTAACTCTGATTCCCTCTAAGGACTTCTCTGTTGACATCCACCCCTTGGCGCTCATCTGATCTTATGCAGTTGCGAGCGCCGTAAAACCTCTACTAAAACAAAAGACTTTAATCAAATATAATGTTATTATGTAGATTTTATACAGTGGACTTGGTTGAAACTGAACATGGTTAATCCGAAAACAGCTGTAAACGAAAAGAAAATAATCTCCAATTCTGTTTGAGCAGCCTCTGTAAACTGAAAACTGGGCTAAAATGAAAAAAATCCAGCACTCCAGTTTACGCAGGTTCCACTGTATTATACAGTGTATACACATACAAATACTGCAATGCCTTGAGATCTGAGTTTAATTTGTTCCAAGACCAAGCTCATTACTCAAAAGACTCGTATTTCGAATTATTATTCCACACTGAAATTAATGATAATGGGGGTATTTCCAATCTATTCCAGGACTCTGAAAATAAGTACCTTTATATTCCAAAAACTCACTTGTATATTTTTGTGTTTGTAGGTTTCGAACAAGGAAAAGTATGTAAAATATTTGAAAATGTAGGTGTGTCTGTGTCCCTATCGACACAGTGTTTAGATCTTTTAGAAGGCGAGTTTCTGACATTGTTTGTCAGAGCCAACTCGGGCTGAAAGGGATTCAACATCTCAGCAAAAAGACCTAGATACTCAATGAAGATTTTTCTCCCTACTCGGGAGTCAAACTCGGGTCTCCTGCATGCAACAGCCAAGTACCTAACCTTTACACTACAGATGCTGATGGAAAAATGTGTGAATAAACAGACATTCTAGTTTGCAAACATTGAAATAAAAGAGAAAAGCAAATTATAAATTAATAAACTGGTCTAAGTCATGAAAATCTGAGAAGACATAGGTGACTACTAACCTAGCCTATCAACGATTTGCCTTGTCTTGGATACCAAGGATAAACTTTATGACTTGTTTATTTAGATTTTTCAGAACATTGTATATATATATATATTTATAATAATATGATGTATATTATTTATATAGTAGACCTGCTCTAACGACCGCTTATCCAAGCAATCACCTGTACAAACAACCACTTCCCATTTTCTCAGCTGCTCTTTTTTCTATACCGGGTATTGTAGTGGAACTGTCTTAGATGTCAATTCTCGACACTGGGTGGTCGTCTTGGACAATACAGATACGCTACCTTGAAAAAAGAGGGGAGACTAGCTGTATTCTTCTATAGCAGCGGCAATATTCTTCTAGTAGTGTCCCCTGTATTGGATTTGCTCACTCTGAAATTATGCAACGTGGCCAGAACTGTCTTTTTTTTTTTTTTTTTTTTGTATTATTTTGGTTATTTTGTCGAGTTGTTCTTCACGTCAAGTGACCAAAGTTTTTTAGTCTGACGTATTCCACATGGTTTGTAAATTGTAGCGTCAATGATTTTTTCACAGCAAGACATCGTTGTGGGTGGTTGGCGGGTGCTCTGGTGTGGTTTGCTTCTTCTTTCCTATTCTATGAAAAATATATCGCCCTTATCTCCCCTTTTACTTGTTATGTTTGTTAATCTCTAAATCTCTTGTAACACCTCTAATCTTCTGGCGCTCATATGACCTTATGCAGTTGCGAGCGCCGTAAAACCTCTACTAAAACTAAAAGATATCGTTGTGTTGGTCCAAACAGATGGGAGGCTGAAGGAGCAGTAATATTTATATCTCTGGACATCAGCACTGTGATCTAAAAAGCTGTCATTCGATTCTTGGAAGCCACCAAGGCCCAGGTCCCACATTCTGATATAATCTGTCCCCGTCGTTTTATGCAAGAAAAATTCTGAAATTATGCAAACTGAGCCAAAATGTGAAACTATGCGATTCTGTTAATTTTAACAAAGAATGATATTGATAAAGAAAATAATCAGAAATTATCTTTTATGCAAAAAATTATCACATTTTGCTAAATTATGCGGTGTGCATAAAACCACGGGGACAGTATAATGTGTATTTACTGGATTGCTCAAATAATATGCAAACATTGATGTGCTGTGTCTTGTGGTCATCTGTCAACTGTTGTAATTGGAACCTGACGATTTTCTGTATCCCAGCTCACTGTAAACTGTTGACCTAAATTAGAGTGATTAAGGGCATCAACAATGTCTCAGGTTGTGGGCTTCATGTACAAATGAGACTGCCAGTGTCAGTGCGTAGAGCACTTTTTTCTGTGGTGGCAGACAAATGACAGCTTCTAATGTGCTCATTGTGTAGATTTGTGTGCGCCTCTTTGTAATGTGTATAAAAATGTCTCAACGGAGTCAACGGAGTCAATTGTAGACCTCTGACTTTCTTAGAAATTCTCAGCATAAACACTTTCAAATTTCAAGTTCTTCGGCCTGAATTTCAGTGGGATTTTTCCATGTTGCGAGAAGAAACCACATTGCAGCTCTTTATATCTATTAGGTTACTTTGTAAATTAGTTGTCATCTTTGTTGTGATGTTGTAAAATGGGTGGGGTCATTTTGTTTAGTTTAATGGGACACCCAAATCCATTATTCCATGAACTACTCCCAAAAATTTACAAAATTGAAAAATAAATAGATTGATGTTTACAGTAAAGATGACCGGGGGGTTGTTTTGGTTTGTTTGTTTGTTTGTTGTTTATTTGTTTGTTGTTGGGATTTTTTTTTTGGGGGGGGGGGA